TATTCCTAAATTTACGATCACAGTTGAAATGCTTGTTTATGTGAGAAACTTGTGAAGTGAGTTTTGCCCCATTTTATGGCCTTTCTTGCCACAGTTGCTAAGTGAATCACTGCAGTTGTTAAGTTGATAACACAGTTGTTAAGTGAATCTGGCTTCTGTATTGCCTTTGCTTGTCAAAAGGGGATCACATGACCTCAAGACCATCATAAATTTGAAGCAGTTGTCAAACCATTTGAATGTAAATCTACACTTAGGCAAGAAAAACAAAATGCACAGGTACAGTATACGTGGTCCTTGGCTCAATAGTAGTAACTGTGAGAGGGATCTTGGAGTAGACAGTCACTTAAATGGGAGCCAGCCCTGTGCAGCAGCTGCCAAAAATGCCAACACAGTTCTAGGCTGCATAAACAAAGGGATAGAATCAAGATCACGTGAAGTGTTAATACCACTTTATAAGGCCTTGGTAAGCCTCCAGAAGTTGTGAATGCCCCAACACTGGAAGTTTTAAAGAAGATGTTGGATAACCATTTGTCTGAAGTGTTAGGCAGGGTTTCCTGCCTAAGCAGAGGGTTGGACTAGAAGACCTCCAAAGTCCCTTCCAACTCTATTCTCTTCTATTCTATTCTAAATCACATGATCATGGGTATGTGATTTAGAATAGAATGGAATAGAATAGAATAACAGAGAAAGTATTAAAACACAACGGTCGTAACTGTGAAAAATGGTCAGTCACTTTTTTGAGTCCCATTGTAGCTTTGAACAGTCACTAAATGAACTGTGGTAAGTGGAGAACTACCAGGATTTAAAGTTGTTGCAGCTTTCATATGGCTACGTAGTTTTATTACTTTTCTGGGGTGAAGTGGGCAGTGAGAGGCTTTGGATACAGCAAACAAACAAACAAACTGTGGTATTCATTTGGGTACGAAGGGCACTCTTGGCAATGTTGGTTAGCTCAAGAACACATGTTCCCTGTTTAAAAAAGTATAGGTAGTCCTTGACTTACAACCACAATTGAGCCCAAAGTTTTTGGTACTAAGCAAGACAGTTGCTAAGTGAGTTTTACCTCATTTTGCCCCTTTCTTGTCACGCTTGCTAAGCGAATCACTGCAGTTTGCTAAGTTAGTAATATGGTTCTTAAGTGAATGTGGCTTCCCCATTAACTTGTCAGAAGGTCGCAAAAGGTGATAAGGACGCTGCAGCCGTCATAAGTACGAACCAGTTGCCAAACATCTGACTTTTGATCACGTGACCATAGGGGTGCTGCAATGGTCGTAAGTTTGAATAACGGTTGTAAGTCACCATTGTAACTTCGAGCAGTCACTAAATGAACGGTTGTAAGTCGAGGACTACCTGTAATTCATTGTTTTGATGTTGGGAAAAAAATGGTTCATTCTTTTCGCAGAAGGAGCTGATTACTGTATGCATTTTTAAATATGTATTTTTTTTTCTCTCTGTTGTCTCTCTCAGATTGGGGCTGAGGATATCGTGACCCCCGTCACTTTAAGGCTGAATTATAACCTCACAGGAAAGTCCATCGCTAAAGTCCCAGATCTACTGCCCATCCTGAGCAAATGGTCAAAGCCAAACTATACAGCCGAGGTGACTGTCCCTAAGGTTTATACCCCAAAAGCCAGCAAGAATTGGAGCTATTTTGTTGTAGTTGGGGGGGGGGGGTGTTATTCACTTACCTTCCCTACCAGTTCGCAAATGTGAGCGCGCGGATGTGCTTTGGCTAAAAAACATGCCTAAGTGGGATGCCATTGAGCCAGGGAAGGTGGGCGAGGCCAACCACAGTTTCCACTACCGTTTCAGGCGAACCGATCCAAACTAACAGAATACCACGTTTGGTTGTAGTGGTGACGGTGTTAGACTAGGACTGAGGAAGGAACCCAGATTGTAGTCCTCTCAGCCATGGAAGCTAACTAAATGTCTTCCAGCCAGTCCCTTTCTCTCACCCTAGAGAGCTGAAACAGGGTTGTGGTTACGATGCTAGCCGAGGAGTTGGAAATCCAGGTTTTCTTCTACCTCAACCATAGAAATGTCCCAAAAGTGCTTTTTCAGGAAGCAACTGGACCAGTGGTGGGTTCCAGCCGATACAGCTGTACCGTTAGTAGCCGGGAGCAGCTGCCACCGTACCGGTACGGTGGCTCCTTTGGCCCACCTGCCTGCCCATGTTCTATACCTGTTTTTAAAGCAACCGGCCAATTGTGCACGCGCACAGCAAGTGGCGCCTGCAGGACCTCCAATAAGCAGCTGGGTATCGCAAGGGCGGTGGAGTGTGCATACGTTTGCAGCGTGCATGCACGATCAGGATGCCCTTGTCCCTTGCGCAGCGAGGTGATGGGGAGAGGAACCCACCACTGAACTGGACGTTCTTGATTTTTTTGAAGATGTTTTGCTTCTCATCCAAGAAGCTTCTTCAGCTCTAACAGAATAGTGGGGAATGGAAGGGTTTATATTCCCCACTATCCTGCTAGAGCTGGAGAAGCTTCTTGGATGAGAAGCAAAAGGTCAACAAACAAACAAAAACTCCAAAGAAAGTTCAGTTGCCTCCTGAAAAAGCACTTGTTGGAAGAAATGTCCTTCTGGGTTCAGTTCCAAGTGGGGAAAAAGACACTGGAAACATGGAAGCTGCTTGGAAAGATGGTTTTAATGATGGACAGGACCACATGACTTGAAGATGTTGGGTGAAGGGAAAAAAGGGGAAGAGATGCTGA